TTCCAATCTACTGAAAGAACAGCAGTTATTGGAATCGCCAGCCCATCTTCCAACTGTCCCAGCTAACCACGGCAAGAGTAAGAAGTTTATCAGTAGTTTGGAAAGTTTTGAACAATCGCCAGAGATAAACAGGTATGTTGTCTTATAGAACATGTTACGAACAAGCTGAAAATCAACTGATGCTAATCAGTTAACTGTAATTGGACTCAAATACCAGTTATATATTTAAAAAATATTATATATTTGAAAAATATTTGAACACGTCAATTCCTCGCCTTTATACAGAGTTGGATAATTCTGATCAGGAATTAACTTTTGATCCACCTTAAATTTGAATGAAGTAATTATCTTTTCTTTCGAACTACCCCAGGAAACTGTTTTCAGCCTTTTGTGACGGAATGATTTCTTTGAAGTGCGACTGTGACTGTGCATGACACCTTTCGCTTTAAAGTAATATATCAAACACGAAAGACCGTGTTTGACCACATTTCCAAACACCGAGAGGAGAGTGTAGCGGAGTATTTTTGACGAACTTCGAGGTTTTTTGGAAGTGTGGCCAAACACTGTCTTGAGTGTTTGATATGTCTTCTGAAATGAAACTAAAACGAAGGAGAAAACGGAGAAACAAAATCGTAAAAATCGATGCTAATTGTGAATTATGAGTTTGAGAATCGCATTTAACATATGAATTTTGTTCTAGTCCACCACTGACCCCAAGCAAGATAAAGCAGTGTGTTCAAAACATATGGGAAAACGAAAAGTTACTCTTTAGTGAGCATTTGGCGATGGTTCTCCCTGGTGAGTCTTACACATATAACTTGCAGAAGGTTGAGAAAATATACGATAGTCAAGCTATACTGTTAAGAGTATCCACCAATAACAGTGAGGAAAATTGTATTGTTGATTCAAGAGCAAAGCAGGTTTCAAATAAGTGCCTTGTAAATCATTCTGGTTTAACCGCAAAGGATAAATACAGACAATCCAGTGAACCAGTCAAAACTTGAGTCAAAGACATATAGCTGACGCGAAGCGCGGGAAAACGAGTGCGAGCGAGCCACAACTGATTTTAGTTTTATTTCTGATTGGATGGCAAAGTAGCACTATTGTTTTTTTTCTTATACCACACGCTTAAGGGTGCAATGCTAAAAACAAACCAAATGCGAATTGCGTTCAACACTCAGGTGAAAATCACTCTTAAAATATGTCGGCGACTGGTGACGTGTCTTGTGTACGTGCCGACAAAAAATGAAAACAGCGCTTGTTAGTACATGAATTCGAACAATTGAGCAAGCCGAGTTCAGGTTCAGTCTGATAGAATTCGATAAATGTAACAAGTTTCGCGCGCACGTGACATTTTTATGAACAAGTATTTTTGACTTAACTGGGTATTTTAGTTCAGTATGTAGCTAAAAAGTTCTTAAGTTCAGAGAATTTTGAAGCGAAACGTAGAGACGTGGTGCATACAAACGCATATTGAGTCTCAGGATACGTCGAGGTGAAAGTCTGAAGCGAAAGGTCAAGAAATAAAACGCGGAGTTTTCCAACTGCTTTTGCTCACGTTTGCTGGCTCACAAAGATCGTTCAATAATAGAAGCCAGGAGTGCGTCTCCTTCAAGATTTGGGGGGCTAAATATCCCCACCCCCATAGAGCATGAACCGTGGCACAATATCACAGGTTGTCGATAGATTAAGAACATAGTTTTTTTCACAAATGCAATATTTTAATTCAACATACTTTAGGCAGCGCAACCTCGTTCCCAGGGTCTCTCATCTTACCGCCCCCTGGAGCGCCTTAGTCATATCTTCTCTGAAATGAAAACACCTTGCCTTTTTTTTCTTTTTTGTAGTGCCTAGTACGTCGTCAGAGAAGAAAAAAGGTCACTCCACGACTTTAGTCCAGCTGGCAATAAAGAAGCTAATTTTATCAAAAGAATGTTTGGACGGAAAGCTAGAGTTGGGAATACCGTGGAACCCACTAGCTATGTCAACAATAGAAATGGAGAACTGCCGGAAAAACCTGCACAGGCTTTCATCATGGAGCAAAGACAAAGAAGAACAGGCTGGACAACTCGACAGACACAAAACCTTATCATATTCAAGGGAAAAGTTTCAAAAAAGCGGCATTCACGGTTAGGACGTTAAGTTTTTGAAAGTAAGACAATGCAGAAAATCCAGTGCCTGTTCTGTTTACTCACTGGTTGGTCGAAAGCGCCAAACTAAATCATTTGCTTTTTGCGGTTTATTCTTTCGGTTTTTTTCTTGCTTCTTAATTCAGCAATTCAAGCTAGACATATCTTAGCGTCTACGGTTTAACGGGTTTCAGTGTAATGGCAAAAATCAATCCCAATGAAAACATATTTTTAGCCAGAAACATCATCGTCCCTTAAAGTAGCTTCGATCCAGAGGCCCGTTTCTCGAAGGTCCCAAAAATTTTTCGCACCCGGAAAGCCATAGCAATATCTGGATTACAGAGCTGTTTTATTCACATATTTACATATTCTTAACACGATCAGTGGTTCTCTTCATTCAAGAAGTTTCAAGCGTATACGCTTCTCC